TTCAATGATTCTATTAGCTTAGAATCATAAATCTTGCTTTTTTATTAGTTTTTGTGTTATTGTATTTTAAAAAGTGTCCACAATATTCTGGGAGGCCTCTGTATAAAATATATGATATGGAAAACAAGTTTATCTAATATCACAAATACACTTAAATTAATAAAAGTTTACGTAAATTTATGCTAAAAATTGTGAATTGGAATATTTAAAAATTAAAAAGAATAAAAAAATATATCTATTATTTTTCAATTGAATTTACTTCATCATTATTTCATAATGATCAATTAAAAAAAGGTATAATTTTGCTAAATTTCTTAATAAATCATAGTAAAAATTCAATTTTTTATTTTTCCTATGATTTATTAAGAAATTTAGCAAAATTATACTGATTATTATAAAATAATGATGAAGTAAATTCAATTGAAAAATGATAGATATATTTTTTAAGATATGGAAATATGTTTCTTAAAAATATTTGCAAAATTGATTAGTGAAAATATTTTTTTATTCTTTTTAATTTTTAAATATTCCAATTCACAATTTTTAGCATAAACTTTTACTAATTTAAGTGTATTTGTGATATTAGATAAACTTGTTTTCCATATTATATATTTTATATATATGGAATTTCATTTATTTTGAATAAATTTTTGTAAAGTTATACCTAAAAAACTAAATTCTGAATACTTATAATGACCACTGTATCAAAAGAATTTTTTGGCTAATATTCACTCATAATTCATATAAATATGTTATTATATAATGAATATATATGCTTTTTATAAAGAAGATTTAATAAATAGTCAGAAATTATTGCACAAGAGAAGACTATATTCATTCTTTAAAAAAATATCTTTTAGCTATAAAACTAGAAATGAATCTATTTAGAAATTCAATAAAAAATGCACTTAATCATTTTTTTGTAATATCAATCAATACATATACTGTTAAAAAAAAGATTTTTTTGGTGAATTTTTAAAGAAATTTCAAATACTAAGTAATTTTCTAATAATTCATTGAATTTAGGATAAATCTCAATAAAATCACTAGAAATAGGAATTTCTCTTAATGATTTACTAAAAAATATCATTAGACCAATCTTTTTCTATTTGTATTTATATAAAGTTAAATGATTTTTTTTAGCAAATTCAAATATAATATTAAAAAATGACTAATAAATATATCAACTAGAAATCTCAAACTGAACACTACAAAAAACCAAATTTTCAAGCAACAATTAATTTTCAGAACAAAAATATAAAATAATAAATCAGGAATTATTAGATAAATTACTAAAATATTTTGTTGAGCATTTATAGTATTCATTATATTTAATAAGAATACATTTTTCTTATTGTAATAAAAAAATTAGAAATATATGAATGTTATTGTAAGTTCATAGATGAATTGTTTGGATGTTTTTAAAAGTATATTTTATAATATTATTGGTAAGTTTGGTTTTTGTTATTGCTAAAATATTAGTGTGTATTTCATGAAAGTACTTTAATATATCTTGAGATTTTTTTAATAAGCATAATTTTCAGATATTGAGTGTGCTGATACAAAGTACTGAGTTATAATTATATATGGATATAGTTTTTGAATTATTAGAAAGAGCTTGATAATTATTGGAGGAGATATTTATTTTTTGGAAATTGTTTGTAATAGAAGAAGTGAATTGAAAAGTATAAGAACTTAAATTTCTGTTATTGTTATCTATTTAAATATATAGAATGGTTGAGCTGGAATTATTGTTTTATATCATTAATGGATATTTCTATTTGATTAATTCTATTAACTATTTTTTATTGTTATTTGATTAATTTATTAATTTAATCTTTGAAATCATTATTAGTTTGTTAAAGATTATATATTAATTTGTCTTTTTTTAATTAAGTATATAGTATATGTGAATTTGGTTCTAGAAAAATAGGCTCTTTGAATAATAGTGATATGAATTCTTGAAAGAAAATAGAAATTGTTAGTATATGTACTATTGATTGTTTGCAGTTTTAGAGATAATAATATCAAGTTTAGTATTGATTTTATTTATTTTGTTGTTGAGTTTTTGTAGTTCTTGATCGAGAATTAGTGTATCTTCTTTGAGTTTGTTAATTTTATTGATTAGCTTCTGTTTTGAGATGAAGTATTTATTGTTGTGTTGAGAATCTTCTGTATCTGTGTTTGTAATGTAATTTGCTTCATTTTGAGTTATGTGTTGTTTTGACAACATTAATTTTATTTAGAGATAGTGTAATTTTTTGATTTTGAAGAGTGTTTGTGATTGACTGAGTTTTTTGATTGTTTTTAAGAGGATGTCTTTATATGAAAGCGTGGGTGATGTAATAATTGGCTTTTTTTCTATTTTGATATAGTTTGTTGAGTTGTTTATATTGAATTGCTTTTTAATTTTTGTAAGTGCATTTGCATGTGATATGATCACATGAGAAACATAATTTGCATAATTTTGTATTTGGTAGTTTCTATTTTAATTTAGAATTATGAAAAGTGAAGTTTTTAATTATTGCTTTAACCTGATTAGTTTGTTACTAAATGCTATAATTGTAATTCTTTGTCAGTTATATTTGATTGGAAATCTTGGAATGTAGCATGATTTTACTTTAATACTTTAAATTAGGTCTTCGAGTTCGAAGATTATGGTGCTATATATAAGATTAACTAATTTTGCTATATATACATCTCTTTGTTTGATTACAGATTGTTGATCTAGAAGTGATAAAATTCTTACTCTGTCTGTTCCCAAGTGTGAATCATTCGTTTATAACATTTTGCACTTGTTCCTTTTGGTTGTATCTGATAATTGTATATTGATTACTTTTTGTCATGTGACTATTATAATTATGTACGTATATTATACCGCCTTTACTAATTTATTAAATTTAATTTGATAACATCTAAAGTGATAAGTTCCTCACTCAGACGGTAGCCGAAACGTCACTGCCATTATCCAAGACTACTTTACTTCCTCGAATTTCTCGATGTATTGCTTCGATACTACGACCCTTAGTCTAAAAATAAAAAGTTTATAAAAATCTATTTTGCTAGGAATTCAAATAATTTCCTTACCTCTGGTACAAAGATAAATGTCAATGCAAATCCAACACCCGTAATTATTGCAAGAACAAGAAAAGTCCAATCTTGCAATGCTTCTGCGAACACCGGGAATACGAAACACACCACAAAGTTACAAAACCAGTTTAGACCCATTGAAGCAGATGCGGTTGCGCTGATACTATGTGTTGGTGCCAATTCCGGGATAATTAAAAATGGAATAGGGCCAAGGCCGATAGAAAATGAAGCGACAAAGAATGTAACTGTTTATATTTAATTCCACAAAAATTATTTATTGTTCATGATGTGACGAATTGCACAAAGTATTGATAGAAGCACTTGCCGGCGACAATGATGAGAGCATTTATTTTGAACAAGAATCCAAAGACAATAAGAATCGAACAGACAGTCATTCCGAGTTCGGATGAGAGCAAAAGTGCTCTTCGTCCTTTCTTATCAATCAGTCCGAGAGAAGAAGCAGTGGCGATTACAACTATGGCACCTATTCCGAGAGTTGCATATTTCGCCTTTTCATGAAAGGCATTTGAAAAGATCGCAGTACTTAAAAAGTACGATTTAATTTAATTAACTCTATTGACTTGCAATTTCAAAACAATTTCAAAGACTAAAGTTTCTACCTATAAAAAATGATCCCATTAATCCCGCACAACTGTTGCAACGCTGACAAACCCAGACAAATTAATGCCATCTTTCTATACAATGGGCCTTTAAATAATCCAAGAAATGTCAAGGATTTGCGCACAGTTATGACCCTATTTTCTTGCAATGATTCTCCTGATGCTTTCACTTCAATTTCTCTTTTCCCCTCGACAATCTCTTCGAATTCTTTATCTACATCAAATGTCAAGGATTTGCTCACAGTTATGACCCTATTTTCTTGCAATGATTCTCCTGATGCTTTCACTTCAATTTCTCTTTGTCCCTCGACAATCTCTTCGAATTCTTTATCTACAACGAATCCGTGTCGAAGTCTTTTTAATGTTTCTTTGGCTTCGTCAATTTTATGCTGCGAAACTAGATATCGTGGCGTCTCAACGCAAAGCGGAAGCAATAGTAATTGTGCTAACGCTGGAACAGCGGTAAGTGTGAGTAATATTCTCCAGCCTGGATTATAGTCCAATAAAAATCCTGTTAGTTGAGCAACGAGTATTCCAATCACAATGAATAAAGAATTGATTGTTCCAAAAAATCCACGCGCATTTATAGTTGCGATTTCCCCTAAATAAGTCTAATATATTTTCAATATAGTATAAGATTTCACCTTAAAAAGATAATAAATACTAACGGGAACAGTCACAGTTCCGATCCCACTTCCAATCCCTGTTAATATTCGCCCAATAGCAAACATTGAAGGATTCACAGAGACTCCTAGAATTAATGCTCCCAATAGAAAATTGATATTATTAACCATCAAAGTACGACGTCGGCCAAGTCTAGTTTGCAAGTACCCGGCAGAAAGACCACCAATCAAACCACCAAGCGCATAATTTGCTACCACGAACCCCCTAAATAGAATAGAGATTAATTACGCATATCGATATGAATATGATAAAATCGTTTATTTGTACCATAGTAAATTATTCATCGGTAAACAATTTGGTAACCAGTATTCTTTATTTCTACTTCCGCAGCTTCTTATTACATGCTCTATAGTATCAATTGAAAAATTAATTAAAAAGACTAAACTTAAATTAATAAAAAATAAATTTTATTACCTGGCACATTTGTAACACTAGTATTCCATCCATTCTGAAACGAGGAAAGAACAGAGACAAACGCAACAAATAAACAATATCTTGGTAAATTCGCGTCTTTCGAGTCAGGTAAGCTAGCTTGTCCTGTAGGGGTGGACATTTTTGTTTTATTATGAAATATGAAAATGAGGAATATAATGATATAATTTGGAAGTTACTGTTACCACTCAGTATCGATAGATTAAAAGAAGGGAATTTTGATTAAAGCACCTGATTTAATATTACTTTTTTTTCATGAGTTTCACCAGAATTTTACAAGATTCAAAACCGATACACAGTGAAACCATATCACTAGTCAGATGAATGTGTATTTAGGGAGGGCATACATTTATTTAAAGGTCTTATGAACTTGTGAGTGAATCAGAATATGCATTTTGGGGTTTAAATAAAGGGAGAGAATATTTTCCCATGTTCACGATATAATTTTGTTGGATGGGATGATTCTGTAAGGCGAATTCGTTCAGAACAATATATTAGAAAAATTTATCCACTGAGCATTCAGTCGTGTAAAATTTCATATAGAAATCTGGTGTTAAAGGAATACCTTGAGAGCGTTTTATTGGATATATCAGACTAATTGTCACTCAGAATTCGTTGGTCGTTTCGATGGAACAACCAAGGCGAATGTTTTGATTTGGTCGACAAAGAATACGAAGGAGTACAACGTTCGGTAGAAAAATGTTTTTAATAAAAAAAATCTTGCAAAATATGATTCAGAATCTGTCTTATCTTTCGCATTGCCAGATTCCGTTTCAGAACAATTCTTTATATCACAGTAACATTATCTATTTCTGATGGTTTTTTGAGCATTTCCAGAAATTGATCTGATTAGCGTTTTTTCGATTTTGTCCTTGTCAGGTATGATTTTTGATTTCTATTAAGGAATATTAGAAATTAAATAGATGCTGGATGAAAAACTACGTATCTGCCAACGAATTGTTAGTACATGTAAAAAGAGTAAATACCCTATGTGGAACTCTAGGTGGAATTCCGGATTTTCTAGATGTTTCAGCAACCCCAAAATTTTTTTGAATACATACAGTAGTACATGTACATGTATAACAATAAGGTTTCTATATTTGTCCAATAACGATAACGCTAAAATAGTATTGTACGTATCGTTATTAAAAATTCAATTAATTTGTATTACAATATGTGGGAAAAAAAGTTAGTTTAGTACATAGCATCTCTTTGTGTTCCAATACCATTTGATAACAGAAACCAAGCTTAAAGCTCTGTTCGGGTCAGGTCGGATCGGGTTTGATCCGAAAATCGTAAATTAGTTTTTAGTTAATAACTTTTATTTTTAAGACACTTGTATTTGGTGTCTAAGTAGAGTTATTCAGAATGTAATTGTGTATATACCAACAAATTTTCGTTTAATTCCAATTAATATCGAACGAGAAATACCGATTTTTAGGCTGACCCGACCCGACCCGACCCGAAATGTGCGTTCCGGGTCGGATCACGGATTGGACCCGACCCGGTTGGAGCACTAACCAAGCTTACATTGTCCTTCAGCATTTCCACCCTCTGATGATTTCAAATACTACTCAAAGGATTTTCCGTCATCATTTTGCATCTCAATACCATTTCGATAACAGAACCCAAGATTGAATTGTCTTTAACATCTCCCCTCTTTGCTGATTTCAAAAACCACTCAAAAGCCTTGCTTTTATCTTTAATTTCACCAACACCATTGTAGTAACAAAATCCCAGTAGATATTGAGCAATCGCATTATTTTTCTTTGCTGAATTTTTATAAAATTTAAAAGCAATTTCAAAATTCTATTCAATTTTTATCCCAAAATGATGCAAAAATCCATACAAAACTATATATCGAATATTCGACTTCAAGATTTGCAAAAATTGTATACATTCAAGCACATTTTTTTTAATTCTTCGATAATTCTTCGCATTTTATTTGCAATTTCATTTAAATCTTGTGAAGTATGAATCGTTTATCATAGAAAGTATATATTTCTTCGATAACTGAATCGTTTTCCTTTTTATCGAATTTTACGATTAGATTAGTAACTGGATCGTTTTCTTTTTCGTTTTTTTATTGAATTTGACGATTAGATTAGAGACAAATGAGTTTGCAATAATTTTACTCATTTTTACTAAGGAAGATGTAAATGTTTTCAGTCAATATTGACGTTTTAATACAATGTTATCACTTTATAAGTCCAAATTGTCCAATTGTCAACACTGTTTAATAAGGATCCTTCAAGCAGTTTGGATTTTTACTTCCAGATATTTTACAAACGTATTAGGCAGCGTTGTTACGTACTTTTATAATGTACAGTACCCAAAAAGTAACGCCGGATCCAAAATTATATAATAAAACATAACAAGCCTTGTGGCAACTTAAAATGCAATGACTGTTTTGATTGGAAAATTTCAAGTTATATATATATATTATATTAGTAATTATTCTAAATTTTATATTATTTTAAAGCTAATCAACTGCACTTCTGAAAAAATGAGCAAGAATGAAAGAACTGTTTTAATTAGAAAATCAACAACAAATTTTTTATATGTATTTACTATATAATTTTAAATCGGGCGTCACTTTTGGGGTTACTGTACGTACGTATACAGTAATAATAACGATAATGATAATATTTTTGCAATAAATAACATAATTATAATATCGGGCATTTTGATTATCTGTATGACCCTTTTTATTTTCAGAAATCATTAAAAGTAGATGTTCAGTCAAACCTCGTTATAGTGAAGATATATATTAAGTAGAAGAAATTAAACCATGAATAAGATGATTTGAGAAGCAAGCAGGAAAGTTTACAAACCTCATGAAACTTTATTGCACGTTCTAACATAAGAAATGTTGAGTTCCAGCGCATTTTTACATCAAGAATAACTTCTCTTTCTTTTACTTTATAGCTTCACATTGTCATGCAAGCTTTTCATGAACTACGGAGCTTGACAATAAGTTTTCTAGTTATATAAAAATGTGAGACAATAAAATCAAAATATGCTTGCCTCTAACATGCTAAATTAGTTTACCTTTGGAAATATTTCACGAAGTCTGTAGTTTCTTCTCTATTCTGCTCTTGTAATAACTCATCTTCATTATTTATCTCACCTGCCTTTAATGATATCAACATATCCTGAACTGCAAGGTTGATTACATGAGCAATGCAACGAATATATTGATCATATTTATCAAACTCAATATTTCATTTTTGCAAATATTTTCAAGAGCTCGCATAAAAGTACATGTAATATTATTTGAAGCACTATCAGTTGTACAAGCGAGTATCTATTTATCAGGATTTAAAAGTAATTATACAGAATAATTTAATACAAATAATCTATATATATATATCTCTCTCTTATTTAATATACCTGACTCTCAGCAACAATGTTCAAGACCTCTGCTAAATTTTCATTGAAGTAAGATCCCAATAACATACAAAAATCTAGTAACACTTTCTTTAGCTCCCAATCTCTAGTGATCCAATGTGCAGTGATGCACAAAAAAGCAAGCATATTCGCAGGAGTTCATGCGTCAAGAGTGAAATATATATGGCCAGAGGTGTTCCGATATAATAACAAAGATAATATTAAAAACTATTATTAATCATAATATGATAAAAAAATCATTTTTTAATACTTGTAAGATTTGGCAAATATTCTTTCTATAGAAAATGTTCTCATTATTTTATCTTTGATAGTGTCAGCAAAGGATGGGTGAGCATCTTGATTCAGTATGCATATGACATTACAAACATCATTATTCTCAGTCTCAGTGAATGGTTAATCAGAACAAACGATCCATCTGATAAGGTATGTATAAGTGTGAAGCTCTGTAAAAAGCAAGTAATAGATATTGATGGTCAATACTGACTGTAGTGATGCTTTTAGTTTATAAGTAAAAATATTTCCACTTTCATTGATATAAATAGCATTGATTTATAAGAAATAGAACATACCAGAAACTTCTCTATATTACGAATAACGAAATTATCTAGTGTTCCAGCATTTTCAGTGCTAGTGACAAGTTTGGTAGGATGATTTTTCTTCAAATGCTTCATGAGATTGGTTACGTTGCCCTCTCCAGTAACATAAACTTGCTATTATAAATTACCTTGCAAACTCTTAATAAATATAAATATATTTCATTGTTCAAATAGAACCTATCCACATTAATTGCACTTTCCTTTTCTCTTTCCATTTTCCTCTATTAGTTCGAAATGCTCCATACTAAGCTTCGCGCCTTTCTACTTGAATCTGATATGCTTATTATAATTCTTGTTTGCTCACTCATTACTTGTGTACTAGAAAACAATGTATCTTCATTCTCCTTTGACAATTGAACTTCCACATTATGTCATTTGTCACATAATCATGAGGTAGATACGTAGCTACATGTAATTGATCAACTTATTACATGTTATTCATTTCAGTTCGGTTTGGTTCAGTTCAAAAGCAAACCAAAACCGAACTGAACTGGAATCGATTGGTTTAAATCACGATTCGGTTCGGGTTGAACCAAACCGTTCCGAGCACTAATGTTGGTTTCAAATTGTAGCATAAGATTGCTTTCACTTGTCTTATTTTAAGGTGAAGGAGGAATTGTACATACTTGTTGACTCCAAATGACGTTTTCGGGTTGGGGAAGGGTGAATATATTGGTGAATTTTCTGTCATTGTTCTCATTACTTTATAAAGATACTTACATTGTATTTGTTCAAATGCTAATGTTTTTTTGATGCTAAAAAATCAAAAAAATATACTTTTTATCCTTTTAATGTGCTTCTATAACGATAACACATATGCATGTGCTCATCTGTTTCATATAGTAATAAAGTTGTAGTCATTCTTAAAAAAAGTTCGATAATCCAAAAAAAAATAATAATAAATATAATTTTACCTTCGTTTGGAACACAAAAACGGACACTTGTCTACCTAAACATTCGATATTGATATGAATTTTAATCAATATGAAAGGTGAATGCGATTTATACTTGGAATAAAAAAATACCTGTATTAGTTGAAATTGATATCGATATTGATATTGATTTCTAATAGAGTCGACTATTTACTATTTTTTGTATGCTCATCTTCACCAAGTTTATCTATTTTTTTTCTCTAGTTTAAGACACTTCGCATTCTTAAGAGATTCTAAAGAGCCGTAGTACTGAAAATGCAAAGTATACAAATCGATATTGAAATTTACGATAGAGTTAATAAAGTCGCCGTGTTCCTTAGCAGTTAGTCTGTTTTCAACACTACATTTGCACTATCCGGGAACATTATTTAGTATCTTAGGTCGTATTCCTTTATAGATGTCAATGCTAGATATATCATGAATATGCTCGCCGAATGGTCGTTTGTCTGTTACAATATCGTACATAACCAAATACGTATAAGGAAGTACTATGTAAATTTCTTGATTGAAACCTGGACCGGTAAGCCCAAAATCGAAAATGAAAGCATCAATATTTAAGAATATCGTAAACTGGCTGGTGTGAATAAGCACCACCCTATTTCAATCCAAACAATGAACAATAGTGAATAAGCACCAATAATTTAAATTACAAAAATACCGATATATCTAAAAGCGCTTTTAAATGGCAATAATTTTAAATTATGAGGAAATACGTATCTAGAAACGAGCATCGTCTCGTTTTTTAGAACCGAAAAGTGGGTATACATGTGTATTCGCGGGGTGAAAGTCACGATGCACAAGTTTCTCTGGATTTTTCTCAGCCACTGATATTCGTAGCTGGGTTTTTAGTATTATATACAAGGTTCATGGTGCACTTTAAAGCGGTCTGAAAAGCTTGATTATATTAAGTAACTTTTTTAACTTTAAAAATGGTTCGTTTTATACTCCCATGTGATTGGCTTCTAATTATGTATGGTATTGTTGCGGCGTTTCGTAATTAGACGTAATCGACGAATTTGCCTACAACAAGGGAGTGGGGAGAGCATAAAGACTGGTTCGTTTTCGTCAGTATCTAATTCCTGTGCCGATATCTACAGATATCGTTGGATTAACAACGAAAGAGAGAGAGAGAGAGCGACTTTAAAAAAAGCTATTTAGGTAATGGGAATTGGGTTTCTTTATTCTTAAGCGGCGGGATATTCAGTTAACAATGTTTATTAATAATAATTTGCTTTTTCTAGCTGAAAGCCTTAAACTATTCTACACAAAGCGCTTTACATTAATCAATGTCGTTTTATCGATAACAATTTTACAAGTCTGATTTACTTGGAGAAAAATTGTACGCAATTTAATTCTGTCTTTTATTGATGTTTTTGAGTGCCTTTATATATACATTTTCTTGTTACATAGTATGATAGTGTTCTAGTTCTGTTTAAGTTAATAAATTATTGTTGGAAGTGTAAAAATGGCTATGGGTGGGAAACAAAAGCGAAATGAAAAGCAAATTGTAAAAGTGAAACTATCATTACTATTATTACAAGCGAATTACTATTATGGAAAAGAAAAACAGAAGTGGATCTAAATAGGAAAAGCAGGAATTACGCAAAGAAGCTCGTAATATACGAAGTAAATTGTTAAAATCGAGATGCGTGAGCCTCTCCGGAAATTACGAGATCGACGAAATTTGTTAACAGTATGAATGAAAAGGAATTGCTATATCGATATGTTTGTCGATTGTTTTTAAATTAGAAAGGCAGAAATTAGATGAACTTGATGAGGAGATGGTATTGCAAAAAACATTTATACGAATACGAACAAAGCAATAAGTTCATTCAAATGCAGTTTACACCAGTCGAATCTTTACTACCGTGTTAATTTCGATTCCAACTGACACAGGTATTTTCTATTCATTTCTAAATATAAATATTGACATTTCATATTAATGAAAGTATCAAATATTAGGCTCTACAAGTGGTGTTAGTTTATCTGTTCCGAACGAAAGTAAATTTCATTGTTATCTTTTCACTAATTTCTTTAGTTTTGGTGTACAAAACGAATTATAAAATTAACGAGACTTGCAAGAAAAAACTACATATTCATGATGAAACACTACAATGAAATAGAAGAAAATGGAAACTTTATTAAATTAATTATATCAACAACTATGTTTCGAGTTCTACTTTTTTTGTGTTAACGCATATATTATCGTTATATTTATTATCGATAATTTTTAAAAAATACATAATAACGATAAAGAATCTAGAACTTTCTCTCAACATGATAAACTTCGTAATCATCTACCAAGAACCATTTATCATCTAAAATCTTCGCATCTAAAATCTCACCATAACTCTTACACTGGTAAAAACTATTTATGTCCTGATTACAATTATTCCCAATCACCAAATCATTGCCAAATCTTATTCCATACAAAGTATCCTCGTCGTAATCCGCAAACACCCAAAAATCGTCATCGACGTAATGCGAAATGACCGAATCCTGAATAATGTTTGTGGAATCTTCGGGAAAAGAAAAGAGAAAACTGTCTTTCGAGACGTAACGTTCGAGAGAGTAGTTCTCTTGATAGGAAATATTGCTTTTGTCTTCGGATTTCCGACGATTGAACAGCGATTCTTTCCAATTCCAGTTTGGTGTTTGTTGTATTTTTGAATAGAAGGGTCCTTCGGCCCAGTAAGTGGGATTGTAGCCACCGATTATTCTTTCGGATCCGCGGATTTTAATCAGTGCTATTGTTGGGTAAATGTTGACGCATTTCTGAAGGAATCTTGAAGTGGCGAAGCCGTCTCTATTTGCCTTAAATATGAGATTGAATCGATGTTCTATTAGTTGAGATTGTGAATTCTTATCAAACGAAATTGTTTCTTTTTTATTCATCCAGTATGAAATGAGATGGGCTTCTTGTGATCTCAATATTGTTTGAAACCGAAGATTCTCAAATGGTAATAATTTCGTCACTTGATTTAAATGGAATTCTTTAAGTTGCTTTTTAAGTTTTTGTGGTAGAACCTGTTCAAAAGGAACAACCTTGAAAACGTATTCATCTTTTGAAATTTTAAAATATTCAATTAACGAAAGACAGTTTTTAAGCGTTTTCTTCAATTCGCAAAAATTTTCTGTAGTCCATTCAGCAATATCAGTACTTTTCAATTGCCCAGTTTTCGAAATGCCCCATCTTATCATAGAATTCCAAATTTCTACTTGCTTCAATTCAAGAACGTCTCCTCGTCTAAGAAGCGAAATCAGTTCACGTTCTTCCAATACCTCTATCTCCGGACATGTCAAAATTCTTTCTGGTTCAATGTAAAACATTTTATCGTATAGCTCGGTGAATCGTTTGTTATTTGAAAACATTTTCGATACTTTGAGTAAGTTTTGTTGAAGCCATGTCTCACGGTTTTCGAGTAGGAAAGTTTGGCAGTATTGAAATATTTCTTGAATTTGGAGTTCATCGGATGCATGTAGTAGATTCATTATTTCTGGGCTTTTTAGGTCCTCTAGGTTTATTATGGTGCTCGTGTATAAAAACCTTAAAAAAAATCAACACATCTAATTAAAACCATTTTTACTTTTGGTCGAGTTTTTAATAGAGAATATTATACTTTAACAAAATCTCAAAAATATTCGGCATGATGTTAGTTTTTTTGAAAATCATCATCCCGTTTTCTTCCCTATGTGCCCATTCTTTCGATAACGCTCGTTGAAAATAAGGATTTCGTGCGCGCAAAAGAAAAGAATGCGCATAAAATACTGCATAAGATTCTGACGATGTCTTCATTTCTTCTTTGTCACCAATGCATAAAAGTATGTCGTAGTCATCTGCATATTCTAGGAGTTGGGATAAGTCGTTGACGAGTGTTTGTGTGAAATCGAACATTTTTTGTTTTAGTACAATGTCAAAAAGAATGATAATAGAAAGAATAACGATGAAGACAATACGTAATAATGATAAGGTTTTGTACTAATACATTTACGCATTTATCGATACGATATCCATTTATCAGTAACCAATAACAATCTCAGGTAAATATGTCACAGATTCACGTACATGTACAATTAAGGGTTTATAGAAACACAAAAAATCATGTGATATGTATTTTAAATCACATGACAAATGATTTAGCATGATGGCAGACCATTCCCATTTATTATTACATAGTGCCAGCCTAAAATACATGTAACATGAAATAAAGAATTCTTTCTAATAATCAATCACAGCAATTATAGAATTAATCATAAAACGATTGATTACATATTAATTGTAGCATTAATAATGATAGATCTGTAAAAATCAATAAATAATCTCTATTAGAAACACAAGAGAGTATTCCTAAATGATTACTACTGTAGGAATTACGAGCTCTCTTTTCTTCAAGAAGTACTTCTCTGGCAGTAAAGCTTTTAAGATTTGGTTGTGCCAATTCTAATTCTGGATTATCTCGATACCAACCCAACAGGAAGAATGATTGTTTGAACAATCCATTGATTTGAAGATCTCACAATTCTGCATCTGTTGGAGTTATATGATCTGGACTTTTTGAAAATCATATACACAACCATTGAAATAGTGCATAATCACTGGTGCAAAATCTTTGTGAATGATTTATTATTATTTGATATGCAATTTGACTTACTAAAAGACTTTTATTAACGAATGACATCCACAAAGTTTTATTTATATAGAGATCACTATCCATGCATAACTCCAAAAGCAATCAATATGCAATATCATTGCGCAAAGTGACTGTTTCTCCCTTATTATTTATGAAAAAATTTTTTTGAGCCACATGATATGCGATAACGGATTGTTACATGTATTATATTCTATAGAATGAATGATAGTTGAATAAATACTAACAATTTTTTCACATCTAAAACTCTTACCTGGCAATGTTTCTTGAAAAATAAATTCTCTCTAGCTTCGCAGGCATGTCTGCCATGAGACCAGCCAACATCAAATCTAACTAGTACCATATTTTCTTGTTTCTCTTTCAAGTATTCAATTGTCACCATTAGTACATTGCGTGAACTTTGCTTTCCACATAATCAAATATTTTTATACATTAGGGAGTGACATATATTACATAATATCGAGTTACTATAGAGGTAACTCCCTCCCACCCCCCCCCCCCAGGTGAGATTTTTATTATATTTTAATTGGCTAATTATTTTTGATCACGTGGAAGATGAGATTTTGAGGCCCCTCCCCCTTATAATTACGTAATATATGTCACTCCCCTTAGTGTTTTGTGAGTGTAATTGCTGTATTTGCATTGTTGACTCATTATTCCGTTAACAGCTAATACGGTTTGCAAAGATTGATGATTTACACCACCAACCAAACTTGTAGTTCGCAAAATTTGCACCTTTTGCTTGATTTTTGTGTTCCGTTACAATTCTACACTTTTTGTGTTTGATAGCAATGTCAAAAGCAAATGCTGAACCATGCAATTTACTTTTTGTAGTGATTTTTTGGCGTATTTATATACGTACTTTATTTTTGAGAGGGAACGAACAAAAGAAATGCCTCGTAAATAAAGACTAAATAAACCAAGTGGTGTTACATTTATTTAAATTAAGTGAGCAGTTTATTTAGGCTTTTAACTGAATTGCATATCGATATACACGTATGTGGCACTTATACATGTATTACGTACGTACTAAAAATTGCCTTTTTTGTTTTTGTTATACTTTTGAGCGCCACTGTACGTACATGATACGTATAATGATAATAATAACTACGTATATCGATATATACGTACGTATCTGAATTGTGTGACTTGAATGAAACTCGTTAACAACAAAGAGAATTTTTTGTTTTGAAATCAAACAACATCTTTTCACTTAAGCTTTCATAACGATAATTTGAATAAAATCAAGATTGTGATTTTTCTATTTAATATCAAATTAGTATAAAGAATTCAAGAGACCATATATCTTTATACAAGGTTTATGAATTCTATTCTTAAAAAGTGTTCATTAAATCTTGTTATTTTTGTTTGATTAATAGTTACTTGTTACATTTTCTTCATGCATATACTTTTCAAATTTTCTAATGAGACGCTTACATATTATGATAAATCGAATTAAGTGTATTAATTGTATTTGTCATTTCAGAATAGCTGAAATATATATTATAAGCTGTTTAATATGGGACATTACATCATCACCCTACCAAATCAATTAATTGACAATAATTTATTGGACACTAGTCCTAGGTTTTTTAGAAATTAAATTTGGTCAATTATATGCATTTAAACATTATCAAAGAAAAAATGATATTCTATGTTAATTTTATTAATTTTTATGAAATAATTTATATAAGATATGATTAAATCAGCCTGCTTTGAATATTTGTGATCTAATATAAATATAAATCATTTAATGTAATCTAAATAAATGTTCTATATATTATTTGTAAATAATAATATAAATGTGATACAAATAATAATATAAATAATAATATAAATAATATAATATGAGATATAAATATAAAGATTTTAACTAATTAAAATATAAACATGTGTTCTCAAAATTATTTAATAAGATTAAATAATAATTTTGACTAATAATTAATGTAAAATTCTATTATATAATAATATTTAATACTTTTTAATATTTTATCAAATAGATTAGATATGAAATATAGATTATATTATTAATTTAGATACTTTTTATTTTTAATTTCTTTTATTTCTATTCATTTTTTTATTTTCATATTATTATTTTTAATTTTATATTAATTATTTTATTATTATTTATTTTATATATATCTAATTAAATACAGCATAACTTGGAAATGCATTATTTTTAAGATTAATAATTTAGAATTAATCATTCATTATTTATTATTAATTTATTTGTAATTCATTAAACATCAAATTATTTATTTAAATATCTCTGTTCTGTACTATAACTTTTTAGATCTTTTCACTATTTAATAAATAAAAAATAAATTTTATTAAAATTAAAACTAAAAACTATCTTAATTGATATAATTTATTTACAATAATTAATAAATTTATCTCAATATTTTTTACGTAAGAAAATATTCTTAGATATATATTATATAATATATAATATATAAAATTATAAAACTAATAAAAATTATTTCTTTTAAAAATAAATATTTATTTTATTTCTTTATACTATCTTTTATTATTTAAAAATTGAGTTTATAAGTTATTAATAGATAATGATATATTCTAAAATTTATAAAAGAATTATAATTCTATAATAAAATCACATGATTTAAAAATCAAATTTGAATTCTTAAAGAATTAGATGGAATTTAATTCTAAAAACTGATTAAAATTATTAAAAATTAGTAAAACTAGCAAAATTACAATAAATTTTAAACTTGATGAAAAAGATAAAAAAATATAAATATTTCTATATGTACTAAATCAAATTAAAAGCTTTTGATATTATTAGAAAGATCTAGTTAAAACATATCTAATAATAACAAAATTATTAAATTGATTAACTAGATGTAAAAATATTATATTTCAAAAACACCATATAAAATTTTGTATATTATTTTTGAGATATGATATTTTCATATTTAGTTAATTAAATTTAATAGTGTGAATATTATTAAATATATTTTAACTAGAACTTTCTAATAATATTAAAATCAAATAATTTGATCTACTGAATATGAAGATATTTGCAAAAAACATATTTTCTTTATAGAATAATAAAAAAATTATGTATAATTTTGAATAATTTTGTATAATAATTTTGAAATACAATATATTTAATAAATTAAATTTAATAAATTTGATACTATTAGATAAGAACTTTTTAATGATATCAAAATTATTTAATTTGATTCACTATATATGAAGATATTTGTATTTTTTAAACTGAATATTTTTTCTTTATCTTTTGTTATCTAATTTGAAGTTTACAGTAATTCTGCTAGTATTTCAAACTCTTGATAATAATCTATAATATTATAAGTAAATAATAATTAATTACAAATTATTTTATTAATTTTTCTTATTAAATAAATTGTTAAACAAGTTATATAACTAGATTATAAGCCTAATTTATTATCTTTTGACATAATGTTATATACTTAATTTTTGCAAATTTTGAATAAATTATATAATAATTATTCTTAGTATAAGCTGATTAAAGACTAAAAAATTTTTAATTTTGCTAATTTTATATTATAATTTTTTAATTATTTATATAATATAAAAATAATATATTTCTATATAAATTATATTAGTATATAATCTAAAAGTTAGCTAAAATAATAATATGCAAACTAATATAGTCAAATCTCTTTATATTTATATCTATTTATAGTTATATCTCTCTATAATCACACTATTTTACTTTTTTATTTGTATATAAATATTGTTACAAGTTTGTTTACTAATCGTTAAATTAGCTTACAAATGAGAATCTGGGTTGGAAGAGAGTATAAACTGATAAAGAAAATATTAAAAAAGAAAAAAGAGGTATCTAAGACCTAAGCCAATTTCTATGGAAATTGAAAAGGAATAATAATGTGGGAGAATTGTGGGAGAGTAAAGATCAAAGAAGAGAGAGAATAAAAGAATAATAAAAAAGATTTAAAGAGGAATTGTATATTAACATAAAGCTTTCTAGAACTTAAAGTAATATGATTAGTAATAACTAAGACTCTTTCACTTTGTTTTTCTCACAAGTGAGGAATATTCATTAACAATTAAAAATTCAAATAACAAAAAGTAAAATACTTATAAATTCAATTCTAATAATTCTAATATAGTGATTTGTTCAGCATAATATGATATAAAGCTCGATAATTCAATAACAGTGATTTGTTTGGTACAATATGATATAAAGCCCAAAGTCAATAACAGTGATTTACTTGGTGCA